ATCCTAGGAGGAGGTGAACAGGATGAAGGAGGGAACCTCTGGCATGCAGGCTCCCCGGAGCCCTGGAATATAAACCTACCAGGTCACAACAAGGAGGGCTTGTCCACATGGTTTTGAGAGGGTGGGATCTTAAATTTTAAACTTATTTTATTTATTTTTTAATATTTTTTAATGTTTTATTTATTTCTGAGAGAGAGAGAGAGACCGCGTGAACAGGGGAGGGTCAGAGAGAGAGGGAGATACAGAATCTGAAACAGGCTCCAGGCTCTGAGCTGGCAGTCAGCACAGAGCCGGACGCGGGGCTCGAACCCACGAACCGCGAGATCATGACCTGAGCCGAAGTTGGACGCTCAACCAACTGAGCCACCCAGGTGCCCCTTAAACTTATTTTAAAGTTAATTTTAGGGGCGCCTGGGTGGCTTAGTCGGTTGGGCGTCCGACTTCGGCTCAGGTCATGATCTCGCGGTTCGTGGGTTCGAGCCCCACGTCAGGCTCTGTGCTGACTGCCAGCTCAGAGCCTGGAGCCTGTTTCAGATTCTGTGACTCCCTCTCTCTCTGACCCTCCCCTGCTCACACTGTCTCTCTCTCTCTCTCTCCTAGAAATAAATAAATAAAAAAAAATTAAAAAAAAAAAAAAGACAAAAAACTTATTTTAAAGTTAATTTTAAACTTAAGGTAGATTCATCTTTCGGGGGAGAAAAAGGAGGCTCTCAGCTTTAATCTGAATATTCATGAGGGCATACACCTGGTTACCAGGAAACATCACCAAGAGCCTCACTGCCGCCACTGATGACAGTGATCATTTGTTATCATCTTCCCCTTCCCTCATGTTCAATGAAGAAGTTCAAGGGCACAGGTGTTACAAGTAAGAAACCTGATTCCTCCCTACTGGCTGGCAGCCCTCAGTCCCAGCAGAAAGAAGCTAGAGAAAGGGGTTCTAGGTTTGTTCTAGCAGAAGCAATAGGGCAAGAAAGATGATGAAGGGAGCAATTTAAGGCTGAGCATGGGATAAAGGTGGCCTGAGTGGGGGACATTTCTCTAGAGTGATCTGGACGGGAGGAGGGTTCCATGGCTGCTTAGATTTTGCCAATGGCATCTAGCTGCTGGGTCCCAGGTATATGATTTTCCCAGCCTCAACCCCATCACCATCCAATGGCCCAAAGGGATAATCATGCCTTTCTTAATTAGGACTACCTGTCACACTCATGAAGCCTTCAGAGGGTGGTTGCAAACTCCAAGCCTTACTCTGCACACACACTATGGGAAAGTGACTGTCAGTTTCACATTCAGCCTCCACTCAGCAGTCGTTAAGTGTGAAGGCACAATTGCTGTCATATGCCTACCACAGTTCTCAGGTCCTCTCCTCACTGCTAACATTCCTATAAAGTACACCCCCCAGGTTACAGAAAAGGAAACTAAAGAAGATTCATTCTTTTCACCACTCCACTCAGACTGGGGAGGCTCCGTGCTAGACACGGACACCTGGCACCGAACAAGACAGGCCCAGGACTGTTCTGGCAAAGCGTACATTCTAGCGTAGGGGAAAGATAATAAACAAACAAGGAAGAATTCCAGATGCTGGTAAATACCAAAAAGGAAACAAAACAGAATGATCTGACAGACACAGACTTCAAATTGAGGAACAGTCAGTGCAAAGGCCCTGAGACACAAAATGAGTTTGACTTATTAAAGGAAGAGAAAGGAGGTCAGTGTGGGAAGAGGTGGGAGACAAGGGAGGAGAGCAGGTAGGGCCCAACTATGTTAGGTATTACAGGTATAGGTAAGAACTGGGAATTTTACTAAAAGCAATGGGATGACACTGGAGGTCTTTAAGCAGGGAACTAACACAACCTAAGTTCTGGTGGTGGTGGGAAGAATGGACAATGGGAACCAGGTTCAAAGAAATTTTGAGAGGATGTACAAGCAGCTCAGGGTTTCACCGCCACAACTAGTTTGCATCTGACACCACAGTTCATTTCCACAGTGTCACACTTTACACACGATAGTGTAATGCCATTCTGGAATGGCACACCTGACAAAGTGGGGCTTCCACTCGCTGGGTTATCCAGCCTTGCTTCCTGCATCGGTCAACTGAGCATGACCACGCCTGGTTCAATCATGACAGTTCAACAGCACACACGCAAACCAGCTTTGTGTTATCTGGAAACATCTGACAAATGACGGTTGTCTACTGTGTGCCAGATTGTTCCACAGTGCTAGGCACTACTTGCCAAACTGTTCCACAGTGCTAGGAATGTAGTCCTAGAATAGGTGGTTACTAAAAAATTGCTGGGAAAAATAAAAGGCCAGCCTTTATTCCTTCAGAAAGATGAGTCTGGTGTGGCTACTGGGTTCCTCTTAGTCTTCACTTCTCTCTGCAAACTCCCCATAAAGCCAAAGTGTCTCAAGAAGCATCTGGGGCACCTGGGTGACTCAGTCGATTAAGCGTCCAACTCTTGGTTTCGGCTCAGGTGGTGATCTCATGGTTTGTGAGTTCAAGCCCTGCTTCAGGATGTCATCTGCTGTCAGCAGAGAGCCAGCTTTGGATCCTCTGTCCGCACCACCACCCCCCACCCCTCCCCTGCTTACATGTGCATTCTCTCTCAAAAACATAAACATTAAAAAAAAAAAAAAACATCTGCTTCTTTGAACAGAGAGTAGAAATAAAGGAGGAAAATAATTAATATGAGGGACGTGGGATATTTACATTATAAAACAAAGGAACCTGGGACTGCTCTCATAAGACCAGCTTCAAGGTCACAGATGACCCTGGGCATCAATCTCTGCCTGAACTTTCCATTTCAATCCTGTAGAGCCTGGACAAAGCCATCCTCCCTCTGAGATGAGCAGCCCAATAGGAAACTAACTCAGCAATACAGCTTGGGTGAGGCAAAATTAACGGGGTACCGCCTGCCTCTGTTCCTCTGTGTGGCCAGAGTGGTATTCAAAACACTCATATAAAAGATTGAGGATTCTCAGCTGACTGAGCTGGTTCAGTTTATGCTGCTTTCAGAAATCCTTCCTGTTAGAAAGGGACACATTAGATCAAAGTCATTGCTCCCAAGCTAGAAGCAGAAATGATAACCACTCAAGTCTATGATCAACAAGGAAGCCCAAATTCCATGGCAGTTCTTACTAGTTCATTTAGTCACTACCTCCAGAAAAGGACCTGGACTATACTGCCTGGTCTGCCAACCCACTATCCCTGCTTTCTTTCAAAAAAGTTTTAATGTTTTTTTTATTTTTGAAAGAGAGAGACAGAGCACAAGCCGGGGAGGGGCAGAGATGGAGATACAGAATCCGAAGCAGGCTTCAAGCTCTGAGCTGTCAGCACAGAGCCTGACATGGGGCTTGAGCTGTGAGATCATGACCTGAGTCAAAGTCGGAAGCTTAACTGACTGACCCAGCCAGGTGTCCCTCCCTGCTTTCTAACTGAACACCAAGACCTAGATTTCTTTTCTAGATGCTCGGAATGTGTGGCACCTTGGCCACTGTGCTCCAGGGAGAAAACCAAAAAAGCTACAGCCTGGGTAACCAACGCAAAACAGAGATAGACTAACAGGTACAGGCAAAGGAAAAAATACTAATTTGACTGGAAGACAGCCACTCCCTAATGAGGGGGGCAGAATCCTGAATAGCTGGTGACTTTATAAGCAGAACTCTACAGACACTGGGTGCAAATGCTTTACCTGTCTGTAGAGACGCAGGTCCTCTACTAGGAAGACCTCTCCCTCCCTATATTGGGTTGAATAGTATCCACCCCCTCCCCACCAAATTGATGTCCACCTAGAACCTCTGAAGGTGACCGTATTTGGAAAAAGGTTATTTTCAAATGTAAACAGTTAAATTAAAATACTATATTAAAGTAGACCCTATTCCAATAACTGGTGCCCTTATAAGGAGAAAAAACCAACACAGAAAGCTGTGTGACGACCAACTCAGAGTTTGGAATGATGCATCTACAAGCCAAGAAAGGCCAAGGATTAGACTGGCTCTGACAACACCTTCATTTTGGACTTCTAGCCTCCAGAACTGTGAGAGAAGACATTTCTATTGTCTTAAGTCCTCTTCTCGAGGCAAGCCTAGAAACCAATACACTCCTCTATTACACACCTGTTTCCCAAACCACCCTTCTCGGTCTCAGCCCAAAGGCAGAAGGCAAGACACAGGGGCCTTGCCTCAGTAGCCATCAGCACTTCCTCTGAGGTGAGAGGAGGGCAGGGATCCCATTTCAGCTGCCCCCAGAGGCCAGCTGGGGGGAGTGTTTGTTTTCTCCCCAAAGCCTCCCAGTTTTGTAGGCTCTCATTTAGACTGGGGTTCCTTAAATTTTACTCAGTTCCATCCTGGAGATTTGTGGATTTTTTTGAGGGAGACATAACTCCTATATACCTTACACTTCCATTTACCTCACATTTTTTTTATACTGAGTCACAATTTTTACTATCTTTAAAGAAACTGCTACTCCATTACAATCAATGGGAAATCGGCATCATTTATCCTAGGCAGAACTCGCTAGATTTTCATTTTTAAATTTCACGTTAAAATAAATACACAATAATTCTTTCTTTTAAATGTACCATTTAAAATAATCTCTTACGGGGGGGGATGGGCATGGAGGAAGGCACTTGTGGGGATGAGCACTGGGTGTTATATGGAAACCAATTTGACAAACTATTTGTAAAAAAAAAAAAATAGAATAAAATAAAATAAACTTGGGGAAAGAAAAATAAATAAATAAAATAATCTCTTATGGCAATACTATGGGAAATACTGCTTTACGGACTAGAGTTACGATCTCTGAGTTCCTAATCAGTAAACCAGTTAAAGCTCTCCAATCTCCAGCTTCTCCCCCACAACTCTCCGGGAGAAGGCTAAGGGCAGGAAGAAAGCAAGGCCACCAGGAGATCCAGCACTTAGGAGGGACGACCTGAGGACATCGAATCGAGACCCAAAGGCACTGTAACGACCCAGCCCCACAACCGCGGCAGGGAGGCACCGACCTTCTCGCGCAGGGTGCAGTGGACGTCCGAAGCGACGCGCCCTTCCCACCACGGCTCATCCATCATCGGGCATGCAGCACAGAGATCCGCCGCTACCGGGCTCTCAGGGCGCACCCTGCGTGGACACGGGCAACTTGAGCAGCCGCAGCACGCCCTCCCCCCCACCCCACCCCACCCCCGCCCACCGGCTCGGACCCGCGGCATCTCTAGTCTCGCCCGTCCCCGGCCAGGGCCCGAATGGGCGCCCCTTCCTGCCCCGCTCAGAGGAGCTGGTGGTCGCCTCCGGTTCCAGCCGACGGTGCGGTGCCGCCTTGCCCTCTGCTCGAGGGAGCCGGGGCGACCTGGAACTCTGCAACAACTTGCAGAATTTTTATCTTCCTTTTTGCGAAAGTTGCGCAGAAAGTTGCCGACTCCGCTAGCTCCCCCGAGGTTGGAGCTCCGGCAGCAGCCACCGGCTCGCCGTTCCCAACTCCTCCCCCGCCGCCCAGCCTTTGTCCTGCTCCCACATCCTGCCCTCGAGCCGGGGCGAAACTCACGCATCCCTCTTCGGGCGTGGGGGGCTGCGGCCGCCAGGCCCCTCTCAGGGCCGAGCCGGCGGTGCCCTCGGGTGCCTGCACGCGGCTTGGCGCGCGCGCGCGCGGGGGGCGCTCCACGCTCTCGACGTTGGCCTCCGCAGCCCCGCTCGACCCCGCCGCCGCCGCGCCCCTGCTCGCGCTCGGGTCCCGCCGCGGCTCGCAGCCTCCCGGCCGCCGGGGGCCTCCCTCCCTCGCTGGGGGAATTGGGGGCCGCGCCACGCGCATGCGCCGGCGGCCCGCACCCCGTGGGGCGGGGGGCTGGGAATTGGAGTCTTTCTTTCGCCGGCTCTGGCTCCGCTTCCTGCCCGCCAGCCTCCCCCGCTCGGTTGGAAAGCTTCCTCTCACCTTCGCGGAGACGCAGGGTGGCCTCCTGGGCACCTCGCCGGCTTCCGCGGGGAGCTCGGGGACCGCAGCGCCACCTGCGCGCACCACGCGTGAAGAGCGAGGGCAGGACGCCCCCAGAAAGTTCTGTCTCCCGCGTGCGCTGCTGTGGCCGATCTTACGTCGGTTCCACCTGCTTTTTCTATTTTATTAAAAAAAAAAAAAAAAAGTCCCGCGATGGGGAGGTAGATTTCTAAGCAGACAGTTCCCACGAACGCTCTAGAAAAGCCTCTCTTGGTTACCCACGAGTCCTTAATTCTAAAGGAGGCTCGGTGAATCAACTGGTATTTATTGTGTTCCTGCGGAGTGTAGATCTGCGTCTTAGATGGGAGGAAAACCGGTCTTTTTGAAGGGTACCCTGGATGGAAAAGCACTGTCTTTTTAATTCAGCTGATTGTTTTCGAAAAGGCACTCCCTCTAATAAGCTGATCTATAGGCACCACAGTGGGCTGTCCTCTTGGCCGATTGGTTTTTTGTGATACTTTTTGAGATTCGAAGACTTGTTTCAAACCCACCTACAAACTGGATGATTTCTGCCAAGTTCCTCACATGTTCTAAGACGGGGAACCCTCTTGTGTAAACTGGGAATAAAAATTGCACCAACCTGCTGGAAGATACTGTATTATTAAATAAGATAATTCGTGTGAAGTGATAATCGCCATGTCAGGTATAAAAACCAGTCAATAAATACCCGCCGCTAAAGCGCCTTTAGTTTCTGACTGATTTCCTGCAAGCATATACCCACCTGGAAAAAAATCTTGACCTAAGTCTTTGACAAGCTTCTATTAGAGCTTAAAGAGCAGTAAAATATGTATACTGTATAATATATATGTATATATACAGTATTATATATTATATATATATACTCATTTAAAAGTGTTAAATGCCTAGGAATACACTTACTGAGAAGAGCAGCCTTTTAATGAAGAAATTATGAAAGTTGAACCATAATAAGAAAGGCTTGAAGAAATAGAAGCTGAAAATACCAACTTGACCCAAATTAACTCCTTTAATAAAATTCTAATGATTGCAGGGCTGGATGGGAGATAACATGTAACGCTTTCTCTAACATTCAATCAAATGGAAGAATATCCATGAGAAAATCTAAGAATTTTAAATTTTGAAAATGGAAGCTAGACCTATATTACCAAATCTTAAAACATATTGCTAAGGTGGGGTGCCTGACTGGCTCAGTCAGAAGAGCATGCAACTCTTGATCTTGGGTTTGTGAGTTCGAGCCCCACATCAGGTGTAGAGATTAATAAAAAGATAATAATAAATAAATTTTTAAAAAATACTGCTAAGGTATAATTATAATAGTGTGGTGTTGATACAGAGTGGATGGATAACCATCAGTGGAATAACTGAAGTCTAGAAACATATACAGTATATTTAGAAACCAATCTTAGGATAAATAAGGCATTTCACTTTTGTGTGGAAAAGGATAAATTCTTCAATAAATTAGTCTGAGAAGATTAGTTAATTTGGGGAGAAAAGTAAAACTACAGATTTATTTAAACCGTCACCAAAATAAATGTAAGAACTTGTGAAATGACGAAACTAAAATAGGGACTCTTGGGTGGCTCAGGCAGTTGAGGGTCTGACTTCAGCTCAGGTCATCATCTCACTGTTCCTGAGTCTGAGCCCTGCATTGGGCTTGCCCACTTCAGATCCTCTGTCTGCCCCACTCTCTCTGCCCCTCTTCTGCTCATGCACATGCACATGCTCTCAAAAATGAGTAAACATTTATATAATAATACATATAAGGATTGTATATAAAATATATGTGCCAGATGACAAAATTAAAACAATTTAGTAACAAGTTTGATGTCCTTTATTCAAGGAAACCCAGTCCATGGGATGGGAGAGTGCATTGGCTCACCAGCAGTGGAACCCTCTTCCAGAGGGATCTTGGGCAAGAACAAGGTTTATAGACAAGAGGCTATAATGAGGGCATGACTCATTAAGAGGTTAGAGATTTCTTATAAGGATAGCAGGTCCTATTTGCTAAGGTAAGGTAAACTAGCTAAAGCTAACTTGGAGATTTGTGATTAGTGTATATTAGGTTTCCTTGCCAGGTGTTTCCAGAAAAGTGCAGAACAACTTAGGTTTTGATTTTAGATGTGACACAGGCTACTAGGGTGGCCTCTGTATTAGGGATCCATTTCTATAAATTAGCTTTATCAAGCCCAAACAACTACAAACAACAACAACAAAATCACAAGACAATTAGGAGAAAACATAGGTGCAGTATTTTAGAAGAAAAAGCCCAGATATAAAGCACAGGAAGAAAGCCAGGGATAAGTATATATATTTGAGTAAATATGCAAGACTTAGTTAGACATATCAGATATCACAGAAAAAGGCAAATGACAAAGTGGATAAAATGTTTTTAACAAATATGACAAAAGGTAGATCTTCCTATCTGAACCTCTAGTAAATGATTACCACATAAAACGCATCAAAATTCAGAATTTCATGTATGCCATGAAAGAATTCAAATGGATTAGTATCAGTTTTTAAATGTTCATACTCACTAAAAGACATTAAAATTTTTTTTAGAAACTTTGTGATACAAATTTGTTGAGAATTTTTAAAAATACAGCAGGCGAGGGGTGTCTGGGTGGCTCAGTTGGTTAAGCGTCCAACTCTTGATTTGAGTTCAGGCCATGATCTCATGGTTTGTAGAATCGAGCCCTGAGTTAGGCTCTGTGCTGACAGTGTGGAACCTGCTTGGGATTCTTTCTCTCTGCTCCTCCCCGACTCGTGCACTTTCTCAAAATAAATAAAAATTTAAAATATCTATATGTAACATGCGAGTGCTCGCTTCGGCAGCACATATACTAAAATAGGACTGATACAGAGAAGGTTAGAATGGCCCTGTGCAAAGATATCACGTACAAGTATAACATGCAAGGTTGACAAATATATGGTGTTGTTGGGACTATAATACTATCTTACTAAAAGATATAACCAAAAATTTAATATATCATTTGATCTAATTATTCCACTTCTGAGATTTCATTTTATTTTATTTTTTAATTAAAAAAACTTTTGGGGGGCACCTGGGTGGCTCAGTCGGTTACGCATCTGACTTTGGCTCAGATCATGATCTCACAGTTCATGGGTTTGGGCCCCATACCTGGCTCTGTGCTGACACACCTGGAGGCTACTTCGGATTCTGTGTCTCCCTCTCTCTCTCTGCCCCTCCCCTGCTCATGCTCTGTCTCTCTCTGTCTCTCCACCCAGGCACCCTGTTAATTTTTTTAAGCTTATTTATTTTGAGAGAGAGACAGAGCACGAGTTGGGAGGAGCAGAGAGGGAGACAGGGAATCCCAAGCAGGCTCCAAGCTGTCAGCACAGAGCCTGAAACAAGGCTTGAACTCATGAACTGTGAGATCATGACCTGAGCTTAAACCAAGAGTTGGATGCTCACTGAATGAGCCGCCCAGGCACCCTTTCTGGAAATTTATTAAAAAAAAAAAAAAAAAAAAAGGCAGATGAGTATAAAGATTTATTTATGGGGGGTTTCATGACAATGCTTTTTTTTACTGTAGTGAATTATGAAAATAGGCACTGGTTAAATAATAAATCATGATTAGAATAGGACTGGTTAAACATACATGCAAAAGATACTGAAGAATATAAAAGTATTAACTGTGTAATCAGAGTGGTAGGATTATAGGAAATTGTATTTTTCTTTTATTCTAGGATATCTGGGGCTGCCTGGGTGGCTCAGTCGCTTAAGTGTCCGGCTTCGGCTTAGGTCACGATCTCACAGTTTGTGGGTTCGAGCCCCACATCAGGCTCTGTGCTGACAGCTCAGAGCCTGGAGCCTGCTTCGGATTCTGTCTCCCTCTCTCTCTGCCCCTCCCCCATTCATGCTATGCTTCTCTCTGTCTCAATAATAAATAAACATTAAAAAATTATTCTAGGATATCTGTATTTCTAAGTTTTCTACAAGAAACATGCATTACTCTTTTGATCAGAAAAAAAGTAAATGTTGTTTTAAAAAAATCACATGATAAACTTACTAGAGTAGACTTCCATTGAATAACAACTCACAGGGGTGCCTGGTGGCTCAGTTGGTTAAGTTTCTGACTTCGGCTTAGATAATGATCTTGCAGTTCGAGAGTTTGAGCCCTGCGTCAAGCTTTGTGCTAACGGCTCAGAGCCTGGAGCCTGCTTCAGATTCTATGCCTCCCTCTCTCTCTGTTCCTCTCTAGCTCAAACTCTCTCTCCATCTCTCTCAAAAATAAATAAATATTAAAAACAAAACAACTCGCAGTATTGTTTTGCTTTTTGTTGTTGTTGCTGTTCTTTATTTTTTTTAAGTTTCTTTATTTATTTTGAGGGGGGAAGGGGCAGAGAGAGGGAAAGAAAGACTTCCAAGGAAGCTCCACACTGTTAGCCCCTCAATGTGGGGCTTGATCTCAGGAAAAGTGAGATCATGACCTGAGCCAAAAGCAAGAATTGAACACTTAACCAACTGAGCCACCCAGGTGCCTCTGTTCTTTATTTTTCATAGCAGTATTATAATATCTCTACACAGGGTACATGAAGGGCCTTTATTATTCACTAATTTGGAGTTCCTCTTTTCCTAAACTTCCGCTCTCACTTGTCAGGAGTTTTTTTTTTTTTTTTTAATTAATTAATTAATTTGAGAGAGAGAAAGCAAGAAAGAGAGAAAAGAGAGAGAGTGCATATATGTGTGCATGGGGGAGAGGGGAGAGAGAGAGAGAGAGAGAGAGAGAGAGAGAGAGATCTCCAGCAAGCTCCACACTCTGTCCATGCAGAGACTGACAAAAGGCTCAAACTCACAAACCGTGAAATCATGACCTGAGCCAAAATCAAGAGTCAGACATTTAACTGACTGAGCTACCCAGACACCCCTCAGTTATCAGGAGTTCTGACAAGTGAGAGAGAGGCAGAAAGCTGGCTTTTCTCCAGGAATGATTTTCAGAAGATTCTAAAAATCACTCATAGTCTGCAATCCTTTGTATATCATTTCAGAGACTCTTGTTTTCCTAGTACCTCTGAAGAATAAAAATACATTGCACTGATAGGCTCAGTGGTGAGTCGCTGTCCACAGGTAGAAATGATGTCAGTGCCCTTAGCAGCTTCCTCTGGGGCCAGCAGGGAAACAGCGCAACTGAGTTCCCTTTCCTACCTGCTATACGCCACCCACGCCAAGAAGTATTCATTTGTTCACTCATTCATTCATTCAACACCAAACCTTTATCAAGTGCTTACTCTGAACCACTGAACCCCCTCTTACCCCCAATTTCTGAAGCTCACAGGCTGGAACCAAAGATTTAGGGCAAGACCATCCTACCTACCTACAACTTGCCCATGTATAAAATAAGGGCAAAAAACCTCTCTGACCTTTCCAATCGTCCTCAGAGGACAAATCAATCTAATATCATCACATGCTCACTTTAACTTTCCTTTCTTTCTCTCTGTTTTCATATGATACAAGGTGTCATATTACAAATATATGTGGTGAAATGTATGTGTTCTCACCCTGGTACCAAGCCTTGTTCTTTTCCCTAAGTATAACCTGCATTTAATAAAATAGATATTTACGCTTTTTTCCTCTCACATAGATGGTAGCATATGGTACACATTCCACCTCACCTTGTTATTTCCTTTTGGTTTCATGGCCATGGCTGCAGAGCTGCAGAATTAGCCCATGTCCCAGGGAATGGGTCCATCATGAGATATGTAACCAGTCTTCTTCTGCTGGACATTTAGGTTGTTTCCAGCCTTTGCTGTCATAGCCACCCTGCCCCGCAGCGGCAGAGTCAGTGATATAAATTTTTCAAGCACTCTGATTTCAGAGGAAGATGAGGCATGCACTTTGAGTAAGTAGTGTTTGCTTTGGGTCTTAATGGTTTTCATTGCTCCATTTAGACCCAAATCATGAAGGCTGGCTCTGTTTATGGGAACAGAAGGAAGACATCTGGGCCATAAACCTTGAGACATAAGCTTTGTTTACCACTTTGGTCTTGAACCAGAAACCAAGCCAATGCCTTCAAACTATTTCTAGCTGTGTGCTCTACATACTCAGAAGGACATTGGCCAAATCCTTCATGATCCTTAACTAGAAATCCTTGAGATACAACTCTACAGATTAGATCTGAGAAGCAGGCAGGAAGACTAAAAAGGCAGCATTTTGCAAACTGAACTGAAAACCTAGGACATTTGTAAAGCTGGCCCATATTCCATTTTTTAATTAAAAAAGAAAGGTAGAAGATCAAAAAGTAAAAAATAACATCTCCCTCTCACTGGAGGCCAGTTCATGGGTGTGTGATCTGTGCAGTTGTAGAGGCCCATGCTCAGAATGAATGGCCTTGTGCTTGGTTTAATGCTCTACCATCACCACTTGAAAGTTTTCAGAATTTTATTTTTGAAGCTGTGTTTGTAAATGAAGTCTGAGGGGACAGTGGAGCATGCACATGAGCTGAGGAGACTACTGTTCCTCGCCACCCTTTGCATCTGATGTTATCCATATCCCAGGAGCACAGAATTCCATTGCTTCTCAGCCTTTTGGCTAAGATCAAGAGCAGGAGCACAGAATTCCAGTGAGCCTCCAAGGCATGGGGGTTCCTGGAGACAACCCTGAGGGGCCATGCTTTCTACCTGAAAAACACAGAAAGAAGGCATATCCATTTTCCAGGGCTGCTGTAACAAAGTGCGCAAAATGGGTGGCTTAAAACAACAGAAATTTATTCTCTCTAGTTCTAGAGACAAGACGTGTGAAATCAAGGTGTCATCATAGCCATGCTCCCTCTGAGATGCTGGGTAGAATCCCTCCTTCCTTGCCTCGCTTCTGGAGGTGGCCATCGATCCTTGGAGTCCCTTGCCCTGCAAGCTGCATAACTGCATTCTCAGCCTCCACCTTCACAGTTTTCTTAAAAGGAGACCGGTCAGTGATACAGGGCTGAGGGCCCACCCTACTCCAGTATGGCTTCATCTTAACTACATCTGGAATGACCCTATTTTCAAATAAGGTCACATTCTGACATATTGAGTGTTGAAGGCTCACAATTCAACCTATAAAAGAAGGCAATGAATGAACATTTAAGAAGTATGAATGAACAAGGAACTCTCTCAAATCCTTACTGGTGTTGCTTCCTTGTACTAGGCAACCACATTTCATGACACCAAAGGAAAGGAAGCGATGGGGCAACCCATTGTTCCTTTTCCTTTCTGCCCTTCCTTACTCATCAATAAGCCAAAGGTAGAGATTGATAAGATGGGCATGTATCAAGAAGTTCATTGCAGCATTACTCTCAATAGCCAAGATATGAAAACAACCTGAGTGTTTGCGGATGGATGAGTGGACAAAGAAATTGTAGTATGGGGAGTGCCTGGGTGGCTCAGTTGGTTAAGCATCTGACTCTTAAAAAAAATTTTTTTTTTATATTTAATTATTTTTGAGAGACAGAGAGAGACAGAGCATGAGCAGGGGAGGGACAGAGAGAGAGGGAGACACAGAATCTGAAGCAGGCTCCAGGCTCTGAGCTGTCAGCACAGAGTCCGATGTGGGGCTCAAAGTCAGAAACAAGGGATCGTGATCTGAGCCATAGTTGGATGCTTAACCAACTGAGCCAACCAGGAGCCCCAGCTCCTGACTCTTGATATTAGCTCAGGTTTTGATCTCAGGGTGGTGACTTCAAGCCCTGCGTTATGCTCCATGCTGGGTGCAAAGCCTACTTAAAAAAGAAAAGAAAAGAAGAGAAGCACCTGGGTGGCTCAGTTGGTGAAGCATCTGACTCTTGATTTTGGCTCAGGTCATGATCTCACAGTTTGTGAGCTCAAGCCCTGCACTGTGCTCTGTCCTGATAGGGCAGAGCCTGCATGACATTCTGTCTTCCCTCTTTCTCTGCCCCTCCCCCCTTGCTCTCTATCTCTCTCTCTCAAAATAA